CCCACACGCTGCCTTGCTAACCCTCACAGCCACCTTCGCCCCCATTCTATAGGAGAATAAACCGAGGCTGAAGGCAAAGGGCTGCATCCTGGTCAGGATGCAGAGGCTTACGGGGAGCAGAGGAGCCTTGCAGCTGGGGGCTCAGAGCTGGGAGGGAGGGCAGGGTCCCTTCGCAGGTGTGGCCTGAGCAGACATTAGGGGAGCTGAGAGAATCTAAGCAGATGGGAAATCTCCTCCCAGAGTTGTCCTTGTCTAAGGCCCAGGGGAGGCCCTCCCTGTGGGCGCTGGCTGAGAGGACCCCTGTGGGCACAGGAAGGCTCTGTGCCGGCCAGGCTAGATGCAAGTCCTGCCGGGGGCCAGGCACGCCTCATCCTGTTTCCCCTCCTTCTCTCTCCCCTGCTCTCTCTCAGCCATCAGACCCTCACAGCTCCTGGGGAAGTTTCCCAACGAGGGCCATTTCAGCGGGTCACACATTGCACTGCTAACTGCCAGCTCAGCAGTTCGAAGCAGCTCTGCGGGAGAGCAACGAATGAGGCTTTCTACTCCAGAAAAGAAAACCCGGTCAAAAACCCATAAGGGGCAGTTCTGCTCTGTCCTGTAGGGTCGATAGGAGCTGGGCTGTGAGCCCCATGTGGCCATTTCCAAACCACCAGCAGCTCCTTGGAAACGAGTTACAGTTTCAGAAACCCACAGGGGTCCCAGTGAGTCCCCACGGACTCAGTGGCAGTGAGTTTAGTTAGTTAGTTAGTCATAACACGATTTTTGCCATTGCTCCCCACCTCTTGTCTGACGTTACTGTCACTTGCCAACAGGCCGATCCAGGTTAGCGCCAGGCCCTGCCTCAGGGCTGCACGGCCTGGGTTTGACACCCAGCTCCGCTACTTGCTGGCTGTGTGACCTTAGGCAGGTTACGTCACCTCTCTGGGCGCCACAGCATGTGCTCCGGCATATGCTGAGGACGGTAAAATCAAGAACACGTGAAAAGCCAACAAGCCAGGCAGCAGATGAGATGCATTCCACAGTCGCTGCTGTTTTTCTCCAAAGCAAACTCCTAGGCTGCATTTTAAAGAGAGACACGAGGCCATTCTGTGACATCTCCCATGTTCAGTAACACATACAGAGAACTTAGTTGGAAACACATCTATGTGTGACCGACCCAGAACTGTTTCGGGTGACCTGCGCCATAGAGGACCGCTTGGTTAGTCTCCTAGAGAGCTGGGCTGGGTCGCAGCACACCATGCGACCTTCCTGAGATGCTTCAGGCCCCTTTGCTGCTAGTGCAGGCTTGCGGGACTGTCTCCTAGAGTGGTGTGGCAGCCCAGTGTGGGGGGCTATGGCAGTGACATCATCTCCTGTCAACTTGAGCAAAGGGGTGGAGTCTAGCCTGTCAATCAGGTCACAGCCAATGAGGCCTCTGCGTGGGCGTGGTCTTCTCCTGAGGATTCTGGGAATGCCCGTCTTGCTCCCTGGAGGCGGGACACACACTCTCTGCTACACAGTTCTGTTGACAAGACACATGGAGCTACGCTGATGGACCGGAGCCCTGGAACTGGAGGAGCCACATGGAGACCCCCGCCAGCGTTGAGATGTTTCCACCACCACTGGATCCACAAGACTTTCCACCCACTGGCCTGCAATCTTCCTTCGTTCGGTGTCATTGCATGTGCTGCGTGAGTCTGAAGAGTAATTTATAAATTGGTATCAGACATATGAACTAATATTGAACTTATGGACTTGATCTGGACTGGACTGGAATGTTTTCTCAATATACAATTTCCCTTTGATATAAAGCTCTTCCTTATACACATGAGTGTCTATGAATTTGTTTCTCTTGTCAACCCAGACTAACACAGGGGCTTTCCACAGAGGCAGTTTCCTGACTGTGGGGGGTATGGAGTAAATATGTCCCATAGGTTTTCCTTGGCTGCCATCTGTACAGACATTGAATGCCAGTCTTTCCCCAGACAACATATGGTTGCATATACGTGAATGTGACAGCAGCCTTCGTGGCATAAGGGTTACGCATGGGGCTGCTAACTGAAGAGTCAGAGGTTCAAAACCACTAGCCACCCCGAGGGAGAAAGGTGGGCCTTTAGAGTCCTGTAAAGAGAGAATGGTCTTAGAGATCCACAGGGCAGTTCTACCCTGTCCTACAGGGCGGCAGTGAGTCGGCAGTGAGTTTGGTTGAACTGTGTGGATGTACAGCTGGCAAAAGAATAAGGAAAACCGGAGAAGAATGGCTGCCTCCGAGTTCCGATGTTGGCAGTGCAGATGGAAATGTCCGTGTGGGCTGTCAACGAACAGATGTGTCTTGGAGGAAGTGCATCCCGAATGCTCCTTAGAGGTGAGGGAATTGAGACCTTTTCTCATGTTACCTCGGGCACATTGTCAGGAGAGGCCAGTCCCTGGAGAAGGCCATCATGCTCGGTAAAGTAGAGAGGCAGTGAAAGGAGGCAGGCCCTGGATTGCGTGGATTGGCACAGTGGCTGCATCAGTGCACTACGGTAGACCATCGGGGAGGCCGGTGCAGGACCAGTGCTTTATACTGTTGTAAGTGATCCCCGTGCGGTGGGCCGGGCTGACTAGACAAACAAATCCAGAGATACTCATACATACGTGTAAGAGAGAGCTTTCTATCAAAGAGCAATGGTCTATTGAGAACACATCCCAGCCCTGTCCAGATCAAGTCCATAAGTCCAATGTTAGCCCATAAATCCAATACTAGTCCAAAAATTCCTCTTCAGACTCACTCAGCATATGCAATGATGCAAAATGCAGGATGATCACAGGCCGGTGGGTTCAAAGTCTTGTGGATCCAATGGCAGTGGAAGCATCTCAGTGCTGGTGTGGTTCTCCCCGTGGCTCCTCTAGCTCTCCGAGTGTGGATCTTGAAGAGGAAGATGAAGCAGAGACAGGGTGCTCTCGCAGGTCTCAGCAAGTCTCCCCGTGGCTTCTCGACAGGAACGTAAAGGCAGAGAGAGAGGGAGGGTTAGGGTTAGGGCCTGCAGAGAGCCATTGATCTCCGTGGCACCTCCAAATGAAGTCATCAAGCTGCGACCTGATTGACAGGCTAAATTCCTTAGAGGTGAGGGTATTGAGATCTTTTCTCATGTCTTTCGGGTATGTTGTCAAGAGAGGCCAAAAGTTGACATGAGATTATGTAATGGCCACAAGTCCCTATGAGTTGAAACTGACTCCGTGGCATCAGAAGATAATAACCACAGATAGGAGTCCTGGTGGCACCCTGGTGAGTCCCTCAGCTGCCAGCTGGAGAGTCTGCGGTTGGAAGCCACCAGTGGCTCAGTGGGAGAAACGTCTGGCCACCTGCTCCCTTTTCGATGACAACCCAGGAAACCCTCTGGGACCGTTCTGCCCCGTCCGACAGGGCTGCCGAGTCCGAATGGACTTGGTGGCACACACCAATCAGGATGTACGCATGCGTGTGGTTGTGGAGGGGTGTGACTCGCCTGTGTGCTGTGGGGGAGGGTAGGGGAGAGTGTGGTTTTGTCCTTGGGTGTGAACATGGCTGGGCCCTGTGGTGGGCAGGTGTGAGACGGGGGAGGCGCAGGCATGGCGTGTGTGTGTGTGTGTGTGTGTGTGTGTGTGTGTGTGTGTGTGTGTCTATAAACGCTGGGGTGAGTGGGCGTGTGCTGTCTGCGAGCATGGGACTGAGAGGGGTGTGTGTCCTCACTGCTGTGTGCCCACCTGGCCAGGCGGTCCTGCAGGGTCTCAGCTGTGGCCTCTTGGCTGAGCTGCGTCCTGACGCCTCTGCTCTCTCCCCAGACGTTTGTCTTCACGGACAGCCGGGATGAAGGGGTCCAGGAACGACTGGGTAACAGGCTGGCCTGGGGTGGGGGGTGGGTGGGAACTGTGCCCTGGCCTGGGGACTCCTGGAACCAGGTCTATGCCCCTCTGCAGGTGGGAGTTCTTTTTGCTAATGAGGGGAGCAGGCTTCTTCCTGGGAGCATGGATGTGGGGCCGGCCTGAGTCTCTCCTCCTGCTCCCTTGCTCCCCTGGTGTGCAGGGCCCCTGACCCCTCTTCCCTTCTCCAGGACCCCATCTGGTGGTCACCAACTGCTCTGCAGAGCACAGCCACCCAGCCCTGTCCTGCAAGATGGCTGCTGAGTTCGACGCCTTCTTGGCCAGCGGGCGGAGGTGAGCAAGTGCTCCGGGGTTGGGGCAGGGGTGGCCCCTGCTGCAGGCCAGTTCCTCCGTGGAGTGTCTGGTCAAAAAGGGAAGTCCTTTGTCTCCCCGCCCCCAATTAAAAACCCAACCAACTTACTGCTGTGAAGTTGATGCCAACTCACAGCGACCTTGTAGGACAGGTCAGAACTGCCCCCAGCACTCCAACACAGGCTGCCACACTCTCTCCCGTGGGGCCACTGGTAGGTTTCATCGATGGGCCTTTCCCTTAGCAGCCGAACCCCAGGGCTCCAAACTCATGCCAATCAAGTCTGTGCTGACACACAGTGACCCTGCAGGACAGGTTAGAACTGCCCTTGTGAGTTTCTGAGACTGTAACTCTTTAAGGAGTAGAAAGCCTCATCTTTCTCCCTCGGAGCGGCTGGTGGTTTCAAACTGCCCACCTTGTGGTTAGCAGCCCAACACATAACCACTGTATCACCAGGGCTCCTAGGCCCAGTGAGCATAATTAGGCAGGGGCTGACTCTTGGGGGCTGGCTCCACATACTAACCTGGCGGGCAGTGCTCAATGGGGGACAGCCTGTCTGAGTTCAAATCCGGCCACATTGGCTGTGTGACCTTGGGCTGGTGTCATGGCCTCGCTGGGTCTCTGTTCTCACTTGGAATTCAGCATCCCTTCTTCACGGGAGAAAGGAGGGGTTTCTACTCTCATACAAAGATGCCTTGTCCGAAACTCACAGGGGCAGTTCTACTCTGTCCTATAGGGTCGCTATCAGCATTGATGGTAGCAGGCGGTTTAGGGGTCAGCCCCACTCTCCTCCTCACTCTTTCCCCCACCCCCTTCCCTGGCTGGGGGAGGGCTTTGGTTCTCAGAACCTTCCGAGCCTCATGGTCACCCCCTTCCATTTCGGCAGGTGGTTCTGCCACGTGGACGATGACAACTACGTGAACCCGCCCGCGCTGCTGCAGCTGCTGGCCACCTTCGCCCCGGGCCGCGATGTCTACGTGGGCAGACCCAGTCTGAACCGGCCGATCCACGCCTCGGAGCCCAGGCCCCGCAACGGCACGGTCAGTCCCGCCCCTCTTCCTTTTCCATTGGCCGCTGGGTGGGATGGGGGCGGAGAGAGCGGGCTTCTGGGCCTCTGATTGGGCTCCATCGCTTCCTTAACGGTCCCTCCTGGAGGCCGGCTTCACCTCGTGCTCCTGGCTCTCTGCTCCCCTCTGTGGGACTGTGGAGGTTGCCCTAGGAATACAGGCAATACAGAGACCTGCATAGAATCAGGATGCTGTCAGCCGAAAGCAGATTCTTGTCCGAGAACCCCACGCAGGACGCCCCACCACGTGCTCCATCGCATGGCTATGCAGGAGGTTAAATGTTGCAGTCCTTGTGGGCCAAGTGGTGGACCCCCGCTGTACTGGGGAGCGAAAAGGGGCCAGAGTTTGGGCTGGGGGGCCAGTGTGAATGCAGGAACTTCGAGCAAGTGTTTCGCTTCCCAAGCCGCAGTCCCCCTGTCTGTGAAGGGGGGGGGTGTCACGATGCCCTGGGTTCCACTGCTGACCGATGGTGGCACCGGTTCTTGGGGCACCTCCCTTTGTTGTACTTGACAGACATGCGTGTTTTCTAAAGGTGAGATGGCAACTCTGCTTCCCACGCCCTGTGCCCCATTTTGATAATTCCCACACTATGTCAGGCCCCAGGGCTGTAGCAGTTACAAGTTGGGCTGCTAACAGCAAGGTCAGCCGTTCAAAACCACCAGCTGCTCCTAGAGAGACAGATGAGGCTTTCTACTCCTAGGCAGCTACAGCTGGGAAACCCACAGGGGCAGTTCTACCCTGTCCTGTAAGTCACAGTGAGTTAGTCGGCATCGACTCGATGGCCCTGGGTGGTAAGTTTACGTTTCTAACACGGGGTTTGGCAGATATTTTCTGCTATGGGTCAGAGAGTACAGCTTGCCCCCAGCTTACAAGAGGTCTGAACGAACCTGGCTTTGGTGTCTGTATATCTTGTCATTAGTACCTTGTACAACATACAATTGGTCTGTCTATGTAGTGTGCCGCTGTGTGTCCCTCCCTCCCTCACAGACCTTCGAATGATAGGATTTATAAAGATACACAAACGGCAATCATAATAAAAACTAAAACAAAGCAACTTGAAAGGTGTTCAACATACATCAGAACCAATTTACAAGGGAGTTGTAGAATGAAATTGGGACTTCTTTAACACTTTTCCAAAAAATCTACTGCACACTGCACAGACTACAATGGAGTATGAAGTAGCATGTATGTCATCGATACTTGCTGACTCATGGACACCTTAGAGGACAGGGTAGACCTGCCCCTGGGGGGTTTTGAGGGAGTAGAATAAAACCCCACAAAACCAAACTTACTGCCATGGAGTCGATGCCAACTCATGGCGACCCTATAGGACGGGGTAGAACTGCCCCTGTGGGTTTCTGAGACGACCTCTTTATGAGAGTAGAAAGCCCTATTTTTCTTCTGAGGAGCAGCTGGTGGTTTCAAACTGCTGACCTTACAATTTGCAACCCAGTGTGTAATCCACTATGCCACCAGTCCTCCTCTGTATGCACCCGGAATCCCAGACCATCAGTGTATCTTGCTTCATTGCAACAGCGGCTTCATGGTGGTAGTCCAGAACCGAAGCCGCGGTATCTGCGAGGTCTGCCTGTGTACCTGTGCTGCTGTCTCCGTCCCACTGTCTGTGAGCTGAAGCTACTGACTGACTAAGCATTTTGGGGACACTTCCTGCATGTCCAAGGAGCCCTGGCTATCTGTGGGCAAGGTCAGCGATTTGAAATCACTAGCCATCCCTCATAAAGCATGACCGTCTCAGAAACCCACGGGGACAGTTCTACTCTGTCCTGTAGGGTCGTTATGAGTCGGAATCGACCCAATGGCTGATTCCAGTGGGTCTGGGTTTGGTTGGGTCTGTGTGTTGGATCCTCAAACCCAAACCGAGCAAACCCATGGCCTCGAGCGCTGCCGACTCTCAGGGAGGCAGTCTAGGGTGTCTGAGACTATAAATCTTTACCGGAGCAGATACCTGCATCTTTCTCCTATAGACTGGCTGCTGGGTTTGACCTGTCTGTTAGCAGCCGGGCACCTCACCCACAGCCCCCCAGGGTTTATTTCAGACCTTGAGGAGTCTCCAATTTCTGCCTGGCTGAGGCCTGGCCTTTCTCGGGAAGGAAGCAAGCAGGTGGAGTCTGCCCGCCGGCCCCCTCCGGACCAGCTGAGCCACCAGCTTTGAAACTGGAGAACCGTCTGTGCTCACAAGTGGCCAGTCTGAGGCCCAGAGAGGAGGGGGTGACTTTCTCCAGGTTACACAGCCGCACTGGACGAAGGAGGGGGGCTACTAGCACCCTGCCCAGGGCTTCTCTCACTGTGACTCCTCAGGAGGTAGTTCAGCCTAAAGCAGCGGTTCTCAACCTGTGGGTTGAGACCCCTTTGGGGGGGGTGTGTGTGTCATCAAACAACCCTTCACAGGGGTCACCCGATTCACAGCAGTAGCAAAATTACAGTGATGAAGTAGCAACGAACATAACTTTATGGTTGGGGGTCACCACCACACGAGGAACTATTAAAGGGTCGCGGCATGAGGAAGGTTGAGAACCACTGGCCTAAAGTGACAGGCTTTGATTAAGCACCAACTGTATACTTGGAGGAGCCCTGGTGGCGTAGTGGTTATGAGTTGGGCTGCTAATCACAAGGTCAGCAGTTTGAAACCACCTGGCGCTCTTCGGGAGAAAGACGAGGCTCGCTTTCTACTGCTATGGAGAGTTAACAGTCTCAATGGCCACAAGGGCAGTTTTCCTGCCCTGAAGGTTTGCTATGCGTCTGCATTGACTTGATGGCAGTGGGTTTGGGGGGTGTGCTGTCTTAAAAAGTGTTCTCCATTTGAGCTTTCTGGATTCTAACATCCATTGAAACTCAGACAAAACTCCGACTAAATGGTTTATTCAGGAAGTTAACAAGTGGTCATGCCAGTGAGAAATGCCCAGGTTAGTTGGTTGCTGGGACATGTTACAAGTTTCAGGCCTGCCCATAAATGCCCAAAGGGACAGCCCACACTGCTGGAAGCCCCAACCCGAAGGCACTTTGGGTCAGCAAACCCAGCTCTTTGAATTAAGGGCCTAGAGGCCCCCCACTTCAGTAAACCTCAGCTGAAGGCACTTAGCTCCCTTTCCGTGTGTCAGCAAGGCAAGCCCATCGTCCCCAATGAAGCACCCAGGGGCCTCCGCTCCATAAGCCAGTCTCCTTCACAAAAGCCTTCATCTCGCTCCGTGGGGTGGGAAGTCCATCCCTCTGTTCCATGCGCTGGCTCCCGGTTCTGCTGCTGCTCCTCTGATGGTGTAGCTGTCTTCCGGATCACTGCACAGGGATCTGGGGTCCCGAAGACAGGCTCCACTCCTGGCTCTTGCTGTAATGAGATCCCTCCTCCTGCTTCTCAGAGGGCTCATCTTATACTCAGCAGGATGCCACTCCGTTTGCAGTTACTCCCAGGTGAATCCTGTCAGTATCTTCTTCACCTTCTTACCAGGCCCACACCGGGACAGGTCGTTTGGTGGGAGTCAGAGACTGGCTAGAGGCACATTCCATCAGTCACTACCCCTGCATCAGGGGACAAAAGTGACCCTTCTTCTTTAGCTGCACTGCAGGCAGGTTTGGGTCTGATCAGTGACTTAAGTAGCTCTTGGACTTTCGGCCTTGGTTGTCTTATCTACAACACAGGCATAATGGTGCCAGACATAATGTAAAATTAGCAAGATGGGAAATTAAGGCTTTCTGAGCCAGGCTGGTGGGGATGAGAGGTGGCCTGGCTGTCCCCTCAGACCAACCCCATCCCTAGGCTCTCCCCTACCCTGTGACCCTCCTCTCCTCCAGAGGCTGGTACAGTTCTGGTTCGCCACTGGGGGCGCCGGCTTCTGCATCAACCGCAAACTGGCATTGAAGATGGCTCCATGGGCCAGGTAGGCAGCGCTCCATGGTGGGCAGGTGGGCAGGGGCAGCTGCTGGGTGTGTGTGTGTATGTGTGTGTGTTGTGTTAGTTTGGGTGGACTAGAGAAACAAATTCACAGACTCTCATATGTGTGTAAGAGAGAACTTTATATCAAAGAGCAGATGAATATTGAGAAAACATCCCAGCTCAGTCCAGATGAGGTCCATAAATCCGATATTAGCCCATATGTCTTGTTACCAATCTACAAATTCCTCTTCAGACTCATGCAGCACATGCAATGATGCCGAATGAAGGAAGAAAGATCACAGGCCAGTGGGTGGGGAAGTCTTGTGGATCCAGTGGCAGTGGCAGCATCTCAGCACTGGTGTGGGTCTCCACGTAGCTTCTTTAGCCCCAGGGCCCTGGCTGCCATCAGTGTAGCTCCATGTGTCTTGTCAACAGGGATGTCTAGCAGGGAGTCACTGTATCCGGCCTCCAGCGAGCTATTTATCTCCTTAGCACCTCCAAAGGAGGTCATTAAGCCACGACCTGATTGACAGGCTAGATTCCACCCCTTTGCAAAGTGATAGGAGATTATGTATCTGCCACACGTGTGTGTGTTTTGTGTGTGTGGGGGGTGCTTTTCAGCAGGAAGGGCTGGGGAACAAGCTCAGGAGGAATTGTGCCTTAGTCACTGTGTGCATGTGTATATGTTGTCTATGTGTGTGTGGGTGCATGTGGGAGTTGTGCTTTTCAGCAGGAACAGCTGGGGAACAAGCTCAGGAGGAATTGCGCCTCAGTCATTGTGTGCATGTGTATGTGTGTGTATGTATTGTCTACGTGTGTGTTTGTGTGTGTGCGTGTGTGTGTGCATGTGGGGGTTGTGCTTTTCAGCAAGAAGGGCTGGGAGCAATCTCAGGAGAAATGGTGCCTCAGTCATTGTGTGCATGTGTATGTGTGTGTATGTGTTGTCTATGTGCGTGTGTGTTGGTGTGCGTGTATGGGTGTATATGTGTGTGCATGTGGGGGGTGTGCTTTTCAGCAGGAAGGGCTGGGGAACAAGCTCAGGAGAGACTCTGTTTCTGTGCCACAGAGCCAGACCTGGGGGCTTGTGGTGAACAGGCAGCCTGTGCCCGCCATCTCCGGGGACTCACCGTCTAGGGTCCCTGCTGCGTGTGGTCTCCTGAGACCTCAGTCCCCTCATCTGTAGAAGGGACCTGGCACGAGGGCGGCCGTGGCTGATGCAAGGGCTGGGGAGGAAACCTCTGGACTGGCCCGTGGGTCCGTTTGCAGCCCCCCTCAGCTCCACATGCCAACGGGGAGGGGCAGGCCAAGTCTGGGGCCCTCAGGGGAGGGAAAAGTGCCTTAGAATGGGGACAGGCTGGCAGCCTTCCTGGAAGAGGTGGCATTTGAACTGGGGGAGGACCCAACTTCTGTTTCCTAACAAAGACCGTTGTTATTTTCATTGTCTTCTGTATTTGTTCTGTTGTTGTTAAGAAGATACAAGCAAGGCATGTACCGATTTGACAGTTTCTCTGGGCAGTGATGGGCACCCCATTCCTTAGTTTGGGCAGCCACCAAGCCCTTCTTTCCGACCAGCCCTTCGAGTTGCTGGTGCTCCTGGCAGACGTCCGGTTACATGACTGTGACACTGGCCCGAGCCCTGAGGGGGCGAGGGGTGACGTGTTGTGCTGAGATCCTCAAGGTCAATGTGTGAAACCACCAGCCCTTCCCAGTGGGAAAGACAGTGCTGTCCACTCCCACACAGAGCCACAGTCGGGGAAACCCACCGCGACAGTTCGACCTTGTCCTGTAAGGTCGCTGTGAGTTGGCATCAACGCCATGGCAGTGAGGTTGTTTTTTGCGGGGGCTTTCAGATGACTTCAGAGTGCAGCCCCCTCTGCCCTCTAGGGTCTGCTGGGAGTCAGCAGCAACTGCACAGCCCACAATAACCTCAGTTGGGCAGGGACCACCTGAGGGCATCCCCCCTGCAGCTCGGACAGGAAGCCGGTTTCTGTCCCGCTGGCCAGGAGTCCTGTACAGGAGACAATCTGCCCTCCCTTATCAGGGCCCTTCATGCCCTGGCCTGGCACACCGGGTCCCCCTCTCTCGGACACCTGGCTGACTCCAACGCCTCTGCTAAGACTCCCACTTCCAATTGCACTACCCCCGGGAAGCCCACCTCCCCCTCCCTGCCCTCCCTCTGACTTGGTACCAGCCCACCTCTGAACTGGCTGCTCAGGTGCCCCCTTGGCCTGAAATGGGGTCTGCAGTTGCAGACAGGTGTGGCTTCTTCCTGGCACCCCAGCAGGTGTCCCACAGAGGATGAAGGAATGAAGGAACAGCTCTGGGTGGGCAGGGCCATCACCAGCCCCAGTTCAAAGGTGGTGGGAAGCTGCTGAGGGCCTGACTCCTGAGCCCTGGGGAGGCCCTCTGGGAGCCAGGGGTGGGGGTTGGGGGTGGCTCTGGGTGTCGAGAGGCCCGGACCTGTGACCACAGTACCCTTGTCCCTCAGCGGCCCCCGCTTCGTGAACACCTCTGCCCTCATCCAGCTGCCTGATGACTGCACGGTGGGCTATATCGTCGAGTGTAAGCTAGGCGGCCACCTGCAGCCCAGCCCCCTCTTCCACTCCCACCTGGAGACCCTGCAGCTGCTGGGGGTGGCCCAGCTCCGGGAGCAGGTGAGCAGGTAGCCTCAGGGGTGGGGGTGGGGGTGGGGAGGGAACAGAGATGGAGGCAGGCAGGGCTTCCTAATTTCTCAGCGCCCCACTGGTGTGGATCAACTTTTGTACCATAGCCCATCCTCTAAGAGGGGGTCCGCATCTGCTTCTGCAGCCTCCCTAGGAGGAGGCGAGGCTTTCTACTCCGATCAACAGTTACGGTCTGGGAAACCCACAGGGGCGGGATGAACCTGTCCTGTGGGGTCGCTGTGAGTTGGCATCAGCTCAGTGGCAGTGCGTTTGGTTCGGGGATCATGCCAGTGCCCCCAGGGGGCGGTCTTGCCCACCTGGGGATTGACTGCCCTAGTCTTAGGTTAGAGGAACTTAGGTTCTAAGTCTAGGAACTTAGGTTCTCTCCCACCTTCCTTCCCGGTGTCTGAAATCAGCCTGGACGTGAACTTCCACGGTGAGGCTGGGCCATCCCTGTGCGTGCAGACACGGAGGCCCCTCCCACTCCAACCCACAGGGCTCCAGCATTTGTGATACTAAAGTCCTGGGTCTGGCCCCCACCATCAGCTTGGAAGGACCCCCAGAGAGGGACAAAACTTGCCCTCAAGCTCCCAGAACTGCCTGTCCCTCGACCTCCTGCCCCCATCCCCAGCCCTTCTGGCAGGGAGACAGCTTCCCTGTCCACTGCGCACTGCTTTTCATTCCCACCCCATGCTACTTGGGAGCCTTTCATTCGCACCCCATGCTACTTGGGAGCCTTTCATTCCCACCCCATGCTACTTGGGAGCCTGTCCCGTAAGGAGACCCCCAGGCATCATATCAGGTGAGGGGGGAGTTGGGCCATCCAATCACCACCTAACTCAGGGGTCCAGCCCCATCCAGGGGGTGAGCCTGGGAGTCCCCTGAGGTCTTCAGTCTGACTGTGTGAGCCAGAAGGCCCTTGGTGGCAAGGGACAGAAACTCAACATCTTCCTCTGCCACTGAGTCGGCGGTGACTCACAGCGACCCTACCTAGACAGTTTCTGAGGCTGTACGTCTCCCCGGGAGCACACAGTCTCATCTCTGTCCTTCGGAGCAGCTGCGGAGTTTGAACCACTGGCTCCACTCACCCGACAAGCCCACAGGTGGCCTCCACAAAAGGAAGTTCGGCTGCTCACTCAATGGAGCTGCTGAGACGGGCCTCCCCTGGTGGCCGGGGCCCAGTAGGCACTCAGATGGCATTTGGGGACACCATGTTCTCCTGTGCTCTCTTCCATGCTGGTCCTTACACTGCAGGCTGCCAAGATGGCGGCTCCAGGCTCCCAGCCCAGCCAGGGGAGGAGAACCCTCCTCCCGGTGCTCCCAGGGCTGGTGCGCCTCCTCGTTGGCTGGGTCTGGATCACATGGCATCAGTGTTGATTAGCCAGGCTTGGAACGGGTGTGGGAATAGGGGGACAGCTTGGTCCCGTTAAAGCCACAGAGTCTGCGGGAGGGGCTCCAGCCAGGACTGGGGCAGATGGTGGGAAGCAGCTCAGGTTTCTGAGCCCCCTTCACTCTGGGCTCCTCCAGCCCGCTCTCTGGGTCTGGGCAGCATTCACGTGGGGCTGGTATTACGGTCATCCTCATCTTACAGAGCCCCAGGGAGGTGAGCAACTGTGGCCACAGCTAGACCAGGGCACAGGGCATTGCACCCTGGCCCAGTGGCCTCAAAGTGACCCTAGTGGTGTAGTGAGCTATGCGTTTGGACTGCTAACCCCAAGGTCAGCAGTTCAAGCCCACCAGCCAGCCCTTGGGAGTAAGATGAGGCTCTCACCTCCTGTAAAGACTTACAGCCAGGGAAACCTTGGGGAGCATTCTACTCCGTCCTTATAGGGCCCTTAGAGGGTGCTATGAGTCAGAACTGATTGATGGTGGTTGGTCTTTTTGGGTGGCCTCTAAGCCCACCGTCGGTTTGTTTTTTTTGGTCCACTGTGCTCTGTGGCCATACGTGTCTACCCGCCCCCCCCCCACCAGGGATCGGTGGAGGCTCAGGTGGAGAGGGACGAGCCAAGGCCCCCAGTGAGCTGCAGAAAACCATGATCCTAGCCCAGGTGTCTAAGGTTCCCAATAGGGGACTCCCCTGCTTTGAGCCCCGGTTTCTTAATCTGTAGGATGAGGGTATTGTCCGGGCCTCCCAGGTCAGCTGAACTGGCTGGGGAGCAATTGGGATGGTGGTCATGAATGGGCTGCCCGAGCTGGAGCTGCCAGGCACCGGTGGATGAGCTTCTGGTGAAACCCCTCTGGCGAGCAATGGGGTTTCAGGCACAGCGGTGGGCTGGGAGGAGAGGGGGCCCTCTGCGAGTCTTGGAAGCCTTATGCATCTTCTCTGTCTGTGCAGGGTGCTGGCCCCGGGTGGCAGTGCAAATCCCTGGGCTAATGGAGATCCTCACCCCCACCCCCGATGCCCCATTTACCCTGTCCTTGCTCTGTCTGTGCCCAGGTCACCCTCAGCTATGGTGTCTTTGAAGGGAAACTCAACGTCATTAAGCTCCAGGGCCCCTTCTCCCCCGAGGAGGACCCTTCCAGGTGGGTCTGGGGCTGAATCTCATGGGGTGGGGGGGGGTGGGGGGCAAGCCCAGGCATCAAAAGATAGAGGACCAAGGGGAAGAGAGAGTGCAGAGCCGGGGGTGTCCAGCGAGTGTGGATCTTACTTCTGTGTGGCCTTGGGCAAGTGCCTTGACCTCCGTGGGCCTGTTTCCCCATCAGGGCCCAGAGAGGCTGGGTGTCTGGGGTCTTAGGGCACACCCAGCCCTGCTCCTCGGGGGTGCTCCAGCACTGCTGGCCAACAGAAGTGCCTTCACCACGCTCTCAGGGTGGGACTTCAGGCATAGGGGGGGGGGGTTTTGACCTCTTTAGGCTCCTTGTTTGGGCAACAGCCACTCTTCTGGGGGTGCAGGGGGGTGGGCGGGCGCTTACCACAGGAGCTAAATGTTACCCAGACCCTTCTGGTCTGGCCCCAGTCAGGCTACAGAGAATCTGAGCACACAGCCTGTGGGCACCAGTAACCGCTCCTCCCCATGTCCCCACTGGACCACTGGGGCCTGAGCTTCTGATGGGGGTGGGGTGGGGGAAGGACATGTGGACTCTGGGGTCAACAGCCCAGCCCCAGAACGGCCTCCCTGCTCAGCACTGGCTGGCTTCAGCTTGCATGCCTCCGACCACAGGGAGCTCTCCAGGGCAAGCAGTCCCATCTCTGGGCAACCCCCTTCCCGCACTGTTGGCCAGGCCTGATCCTCCAACTGCGGGGCGGGCAGGGAGCTGGGGAGGCAAGGGTGGGGGAGTGGAGGGGAGGGGTGGGGCACAGTCAGGATGAGGGCGAGTTTATCAAGATATAGAGACCGCTGCTATAGAGGCAGGGAGCCCTGGTGGTGTTGTGGTTAAGCATCGGGCTGCAACCCGCGTAGTCGGCAGCAGTTCAAAGCACAGGCGGCTCCTCAGGAGAAAGACTGGGCCCTCTAGTCCCGTAAACACAAACCACCGTGGGGTGGCTATGAGCTGGCATCCACTGGGCGGCAGTGAGTTTGGTTTTTGGAAGCGACAGATGCAGATGTGAGTCCTGACGGGTAGAGGAGGTCCTTATGGGCAACTATAAGAAAGAGCCCTGATGTAGATGAGGCTCGGGGTCTCAGGGGGCCTCTCTGCAATGAGATGCAGCCAGAGGCCTGAAGGACCTGCAGGAGTTAATCAGAGAGTGGGCAGGGGGAGAAAGCCGAAGGCAGAGGGAGCTTCCTATGTCAAGGGCAGGTGCAGGTATCAACAAGGCCTGCTCGGGGAAGTCGAGGGAGCCAGTGTGACCAGAATGGGATTAAGATGGAAAGAAGGTGTCAAGTTTGGTTGGGAAGTCGTCAAGGGCCCTCCAAGACCGTGTAGGCTCCGTCTGGACTTTGGGGTTTCTTCTGAAGTGTGTCACCCCCTGGGAGACCAGGACCCTGGTCCTGAAGTTCTGTGGAGCTGTCTGTCCTGGGGTAGAGGACCCACCACTCCTCTCAGGGCCCGGGGCCCAAGGTTGAACCGAACACATTGTATGTGAACAGGAGTCAGAGTTTGGTTCACGATAAGGAAAACGTGTTCGACATTCCAAAATGGCAGGATCGGCCTTCTAATGGGGTGAGCTCCCCGTCAGTGGAGGCAAACAAGCTTGGCGGTACTGCCAACAGGAGGAAACATTTATGTCAAATTCTCTCCCAGCCAGAGATTCTGGAATCAAAAAGGCCCTGTCTAATGAGATAAGTCAGCTGTTGAGCCTGATTCATGTGGTCAGCTGGTCTGGCCTCAGCCTGGAAGTTTCTTTGAAATAGTAGTTCTCGATTAGGAATGATATCGGCCTGGTTCCTCCACATACCCCCTCCACACCCCACCCCTGGGGGAACATGAGACAAGGTCACAATTTGAGGGTGCACTAGTGGGCATAGGGCATGGATGTATCCTGTGAGGATACCCAGAACAGCACCCAGATGGAGGGTTTTTTCTCCCCAAGGGTCAGCAGTCTTGAGGCCGAGTGCTCTGTGACCTGCGTCCCCCGGCCCGGGCTGTGGGCAGGAGCACAGTGACCATCCTGCCTCTTTCTGATCTCCCAACAGGTTTCGCTCCCTCCATTGTCTCCTCTTCCCGGAGACACCCTGGTGTCCCCAGCTGGTGGCCCGATGAGCCTTGATCTGCTGGCCACAGTTGGGCTGAAGCCTCTGGAGGTCTTCTGCCTCCTTGGGGACCCTGGAAAGTGTCCCCTGCTGGAAGTCCCAGGCAGGCTCCAGGTGGTGGGCAGGACCAGGACCTGGATGGTGACAGTTGCTGGAGGTATCCCCGCCACCCCCTACCCACACCCCCCACAGGCCTGGCAGCCCAGGTGGCCTGGTGAGGGTCCAAGAGCACTGGGGACTGGGCTCCCACCAGCTTGGGCAGCTGAACTGGACCAAGGTGGGAAGGATGTCCTGAGCTGGGCTGAGGCCCAGGGACCCTGAGCCTCAGAAAACAACACGGGGCCTGGTCCCGACCCCAGTCAATCCCCAGGAGTTCCAGTCTCGGGCAACCTACCCCTGGCTGATCTGTCAGAGTCCCCAACATCAGAGGGATCTGGGCAGAATAAGGGTAGAATCCAGGACCAGTGGCACCTGGCTCCCCAACCCCACCCCCGGCCACAGAACTCAAGTCTAAAGCCTCCACGCACCCAGGCCCAGCCGAGGGACCGCCATGGGTCCAGCCAATCATGGCAATTCTTTTGCTCATGTTCCCAGCCTCCCTTGCTGTTAAAGGGCTACCAAGGGACCTAGCTCTGGCTAGTATGGACCAAACAAAGTCGGTAGAGAGGCTTCTGGGGAAGGTTAGGCAGCTCCGTACCTCATCTTACTGACTTAAATGTGGATGGACACAATCGCTGGATCGGAGGCCATCGCTTTGCCGCCACGAAGACAGGTCAAGATAAGCCCTCCAGCCATCCCCTCAGCTTCCAATTCTGGAAGAAAATTAAACTTGAATTTGCTTAAGCCTCTCTGGGATGGGTTTTCTGTTTCGTGCTCCTGATTGGGGTCTGTGCTCTGTCTGTCCCGGGGCCCTTGCAGAGAAGCGGGAGGTGAGAAGCGGCGTGGGTGCAGGCTCCAGGGTCTAAGCATCCTGCTCTGGCCTGCCCTGCCCTCTCCGTGTGACCCGAGAAGGGACTTGGACTCCCCGGTCTGTTTCCTCCCTGTACGGATGAGACCCAGAATGCTTAGGCCTCAAGCGGCTGTCATGCCAGCAGCCACGTCACTGGTATTTCACATGGCGGTAAGGTCACCCAACGGGACCAGGTTTCAGCGGAGCTTCCAGACGAAGCACCACGAAGAAGGAGTGGCTCCTCACTTTGCAGGAAGGAGCCACTGAACATTTTAGGCATAGCTTTGAAACACTGTCCGATACTGGAAGGGTTCATGAGTAGACCATGCCGGAGGATGGGCCCCTCTGGTTGGAGGGCCCGGATTTCTCGGAGGGGAGTTGGCCATGGGGACACGACTGGGGGAAAGCTGGTGGGAGTGGAGCCTTTGGGGTTTTCATGTGCTGTTGGGGCACGACTCAAGGGAGGGAGAGGCAGCTGAAAAAAACCTGCTGGTGATTGGAAATTGGAATGTGCAAAATATGAATCTAGGAAAATTGGGAGCTATTAAAAATGAAGTGGACCACATACAGGTAGATATTCTAGGCACTAGTGAACTGACATGAACTGGTCCTGCCCTGTTGGCTCCGAAAATGATTTACTATGCCGGGAATTACGTAATCAGGAGGGTTCACGATCGAAAAGGATATTGCAAAATCAATCATAATGTACAATGCCGTCTGTGATAGGATTGCATCAGTCCCCCTTCCAGGAAATCCAGTCAGTACAACACGTATTCACATTTGTGCCACAAAAGCTAAGACATGGAAGAATTCTACCAACGATTGCATCCAGAAGCTGATCAAACATGTAATCAAAGTGCATTGATAGTCATTGGTGATTGGGATACAAACATTGGAAACAAAGAGGAACAACCACTGGAAACTATGGCCTTGGTGATACAAACAAAGCTGGAGGTCACACAAGAGAATTTTGCAAAACCAACGTCCTCTTCAGAGTAAAACCTTTCTCAACAACCCAAATGGAGGCTAGACACACGGGCTTCCCCAGATGGAACGCACGGAAATCACATGGACTCCATGTGCGGGGAGAGATGATGGAGAAGCTGAACAGCAGCCAACACCAGGCCCGGGGCCGACTGTGGGCGCACCGTCCGTGGCTCCTCGGTGCGCTCAGGATGAAGCTGAAGAAAATACAAGGTCCGCAGGAGCCAAAAGATGACCGTTAGTTATCACGCCTGAATTTTGAGAACATCTCAAAAAGAGATCTGACACATCGAACACTAATGAGAGCAGACCTGACGAACTGTGGGAGGACATCAAGACCATCCTTCGTGGAGAACGCAACGGGTCCTTAAAGAGACGGGAGAGAAAGAAAAGGTCAAAGTGGGGGTCAGGAGGGACTCTGGACCTGACTATTAATCGTAGAGGAGTGGCTAAGGTGTGGTTGTTAGGGGGTTGCCAGCCTCCCACCACTAATCACGGGTTCGATAGGCACAATTGTACGGTTGAGATATATAAAGATTACATTAAAGTCATTGAGAGCATGAGATATGGAAGAGAGAGAGAAATAATGGAGTCAGACACATTTCATAGTAGCATGCTCACCTCAGCTCCGCTTGGTGGTCCACGTGGAGAGAGGGGGAAGGGAAGGAGGACAAGGGAAAAGGGAGCAGGGGAGAGAGGAAGGGAGAGGAGAGGAGAGAAGAGGAGAGGAGAGGGGGAGCTGACGAGAGGTCCAGGGAGGAGCCGAGAGAGAGGAAGATCTCTGTTGCTAACTCAGGCCTATATACCTTTGGCGGCATGCAAGCCCACTAATTACAGGTAAAGACATACATCACAGGAAGGGGTTGCACTATAGGTTATACAGCAATCAGAAGGAGACATCTAGGGATATACATGCAACAGGAAGAGGAGAGATTGGGGGTATACATGTGACAAGATGGGCGGGTCCTAGAGTCAGGATGGCAGCCTAACTCTGGATGTCCAGGAGCCAGTTTGATCTGTTCTCTGGATCTCCATAGGAACCATTATCAGTAGGGTATGAACCCCACCTGCAGGAACCAAGCTAATGGTGGCAAGCCTCAGGGAGAAGTAGCCCATTGTCCCCAGCAGCAGGAAGCAGGCCCCCGCATGGTGGGATGAGACAGCAGTCTGGCAGCTGATTGCCTCAAGCAGCTGCAAGCAGGGTCCTAAGTCTAACATATTTGAGGGAGACGACTTGGGAGACATCTTTCTGTTTCCCACACTAAGGCAAACAGAAGAAAGGATAAGGTCCAGGAGCAGAATAGAAGATTTCAAAGGGCACCTTGAGAAGACAAAGCCAAATATGATCATGAGATGTACGAAGATCTAGAATTAGAAAGCTAAAAGGGAAGAACATGCTCCGCAGATCTGAAATGGAACGAACGGGAGAAAAAAATTCAAGCCTCAAGTTGCAATCTTGGAAGATGCTACAGGCAAAATAGTGAACGGTGCAGGGAGCATCCAGAGAAGGTGGAAAGAATACACAGTCACGCTACCAAAAAGAACTCGTCAACAGTCCGCCATTCAGCAGGTAGCATGGGGGCAAGAACCAGTGGTGCTGAAGGACGAAGTGAAGCTATCCTGAAAGCATTAACCCCAAACAAGACACCAGGATCCACGAAATACCAATTGAGATGTTTCAACAAGCTGGTGACGCACTGGAAGCACCCACTCCTCTAGGCTAGGAAACTCGGAAGACAGCTACTAGGTCAACTGACTGGAAGAGACCCATATTTGTGCCCATTCCAAAGAAAGGTGACCCCACAGAATGCTCAAACTCTAGAACAGTACCATTGATATCACAGGCATGTGAATGTTGCTGACGATCACTCAGCAGTGGTGGCAGCAGTACATTGACAGGGAGCTGCCAGAGGTCCAGGCTGGATTCAGAAGAGGACGTGGAACAAGGGATATCATTGCTGATGTCAGATGGAGCTTAGCTGAAAGCAG